TGTATCCGGTTCTTTTGAAAACTAATGTAAAATTATTCTGGCTCACAACTTTATTCAATATTATATTTTTGGTACAATATAGAATAATTCTCAGCACAAAGTATTTCAAAAAGTTTCCTATTTTATTTCTTGATCGTTCCTTGCGATAAATATTGAGTGATCGCCAGTTAGATGTTAGGAGTTCGAGAATCGATATCTGAATCATGTGTATTCTTTTTGCTGCATATTTGTCAGCAACCAAGATGTCTCTGATTGTACTTTTATGTAAATTGTACAGTGAAATGTCGTTAACCTTTTACAAACACACTTGAATAGGTTATGAGATAAATAGGCATAATGATATCTTAAAGCAAACAAGAAAACAGATAACTTGTTAAAATATCTAGATGACAAGAACAGTTATTTAAGCAGGCTAACTTTGGAACGAGTGTCATTCTCTTTCAAACTATTGAATTCTGTTATTTAATGAATCCTTAGTTTCAATATTATAAGTATATGCTATTGTTATTATCTACGATTGTGAACACCAAGTTAAAACTAGAGAACGTCCAAAATAAAGGGATGAAGAATAATTAAACTTCAGTGAACTCTAACTGGAAGTCTGTACGAACGTGTAGTTTCTTTGCTCAATAGAAACTGATGTTACAATAGACCATAATACCTGTGATTCATTAGATTCTCTATATCTGTATTATTATTTCAATAATTGGGATCATGAGTCGATTGAATCTAGACCACCATGGAAAACCTGGAAGCATTGGATGGCCGTTTCGTCCTAGTGTGGGACTCCTCAGCAGTGCGCACCCACGATCCCGCCCTCCCCCCGCGAGACTTGAATCTAGGACCTATCAGTCTCGCGCGCAAACTCTTAACCATTAGGCCACTGAGCCGGTACTCCTGAGCTAGCATCTAACGATGTTAATGTCTAACTTCAACCAATCTACGAAATTGCGCCACCGTACAACATTGTCTTCAGTGGGTTACTATCTCACAACTGATCCGGTTGAAATCCACTGGTCACTGCTTCTCACCAGAACTCCAGGATATACATCTTGAGGTCAGTCACTAGTGAGCATATGTTGATTAGTATCGGAAGGAGTTTTGTTGAGATCATCAGCTTTATTCAGTATTACATTTTTGGATGCAATGTAAACTTCTTAGCACAAAGTGTTTCAACAAGTTTCCGTTGCTTATTTCTTGGTTGATTCTGACGATTAATATTGGGTGATTGCCAGTTTGATCTGTTAACAGTCCAGTCAATCGACATCTAAGTTATGTACATTATTTTCACTGCATATTACCAGCAACTACGATGTCTCTGTTTGTACGGTTTTTATAACATGTACAATGAAAGATCGTCAACTTTTCAAAAACGCCCTTGAATAGATTATACAATTAGTTGACATCATGATGTATTAGAACAAACAAGCAAAAACAGATAACATTTTGAAATCTTTAGATGACAAGAATAGATATCCCAGATATTCAAGCAGGTCACTCTTATATCATAAGTCAAAGAAAAACGTTTTATAGAAGATGAATTATGATGATACTTATTCGATTTATATATATTTAGCATCAATGAATTAAAATATATAGGATATTCGAATATAATTAAATATCAGCCTGTAGTATTGAACACAATAGATCTTTCATTGAAACTTTTAAACTTCATCTCGTACATTCACTTGGTATTGTTTGGCTTGTATCTTCCCATTGAGGTTTAAGACTGCAATTGATCAGTCTGTTATATTGGCATACTGTGCGTATGCCTTGATATTGCCTTAATTCACAAGCTTTTTGTAAGCAATGATGGATAGTGGCTAGCAGTGGAATCCAGGATGCGCGTTTCGTACTATTTGGGACTCATCAGCTGGATGTACCTGCATCTCAGAGTTGATGTTCACTCTGGGACTCGAACCTAGTACCATTCGCTTCAAACGCCATCACGTTATCCACTCAGCTACTGAGTCCTAATAGCCATACAATTAGAATAATTTACCTCATAGATGCTAACTCCATATCTTCATTGATGAGCAAAAGTTGATATTATTATTTTTCTTAGGACTTGAACTCTTATCATACTTAACTACTTAGATTGTGTTTAACAAGTTTTATGAACGAAATGTTTATATTGATTAATAGAATGATAGTAATCACATTGATTGTCACAGTAATCTACTAGAAATGAGATGTCATTATAGTAATAATAATAATGATAATAATATTGGAAATTTATTTTTATTTATTGATTTAAGCACATAAATATAGGTACAAAAAGGCACCAAATAGATATGCGCCACATAAATCATTCGATTTGTGTGAGGGCTAGGATACCGCCCGAGTGCTCAAACCAAAGCAGTTCGCTAACTTAGGGGACTACATTTGGACCGTTCTACGTAAAGGTCTAATCCATAAGGTAGTGGAGCAGTGTCAAGAGGTGTAGTCTCATGGTAGCCTGTGACTAATAATTGGTCCATATACCATTTGTTTCCTTAGGATTCTGGAGTCCATGTACACGATTGGTTTGTAATCAGGGTTTTACATTTCCCCTAGGTGGATTATTCATATCCACTAACCCGGTTAAAGCGCTGAACATTCGCTCTTCGTTCTCTCAATTTCGTAAAGAACACCCCTGCCTCTAGAAGGCAGTGATTAGGACTTCCTTGGCAGTGGTTTTATTCACATGGCCATGTGAAAGTATCTCGATAGGGAGAATTGACTCTTCTCATCCTCGGCCATACCAGGCCATTTGGGGGCTTTATTGGACATAACAAATGAATCCAATAGAACCTTTCTAATTTTACACTCGTCAAAAAAGAAGTAGTTGATAAAATTACATCAGTTTTTTTCAGTCAACTATAATCTGTTTATTAATACAAGGTGTTCTAAAGATTACTGAATAGCTCAATCCGTTATCAAACAACAATCATCATGTTCTTACTTAAAGAATAACTTCAATGAGTAACTACTGAAGTTGTCATAAGGGGACTTAAACCATATTGGATATCAGACAATTATCAACAAAGATAGTGAATAATGTTCATGTAATATTATGAATTAATTAAAGTTAAAAAATATAAACCACTAAGTGAAAACTTACTAATCTGACAATTTGAACACTCAACATAAGCCTTGACAGTCCTGGGTTCAATACTTGATAAAATTATGAATGTATACTGACAAAGAGTATCATACATACAAAAAAAAAGACCCAAAATAAAAGACAATTGTTCATTACATTGTAGTTGTTAATATTTGTTTAATCAATATAGATCCTAATCTCAATATGATTCCTTATTTGGAATACTTAAAGGATTCAATGAACATATCAAATAGGAAATTAAGTGTTTTTAACTAGAAAATTCATTTCATGGATATATATATATATTTATTCCAAAAAAAAAACCAGAAAAGAAAAAAAAAATGTTTCCTACAGATTTCATGTATATTTTTGTAAACGTTTTGTGAAAATATTCAAATCATAGCTCATGGAAACAAGAAATATTTCATAAACAGTACATACGAGTACATATGTGTGTGTGTGTGTAAATGTGCATGTATGTATATGTAATTAAAATATTTCATTGTATTGTTCTCAACTTCAAGAACCTTTGTACTATTCCATAACTAATCAAATATTATCCATTTTTATGTCAATGAAATCAATGTATACCAATAATAGTCAACTAGAAATAGATATTACAGAAGTTTCATTAATATTTAATACAAAATAAACAAAACAAGCAAACAGACAAACAACCAAACAAAATAGAAAATATACATGGATACAACATAACTTTAAATCATTGTGATTGTAAAAATAGATCTCATCCATACACCCCGCTCTCCCTCTCTCACACACACATAGACTCACATAAATATAGATAAACAAAGGTCCTTTGTTTTTTGAAATACATTTTAGGGATAATAATTTTTTTTGAATTTTTATGTTTGTTTGTAACTGGGTGATATGTTTTTTTGTTTACCTATAGATAGTTCGGAAGAAATTTTCAAGGTAATTAAAAATCTTAAGTGAAAAAAAGTTTGTAAAGTACCAAGTCAGTCAGTCAGTAACAACAATAATAATAATAGTGAAATAAGACAATCATAAAATAAGGCAGTATGAGACTATAATTTATGGACGATAGTTGAACAACACTAAAGTGACCTTTGGGCTAAATAAGAAATTTCAATCAAGTATGAAAGAATAAAGATGATGATTTACAATTGATAGTTAAGGATAAGGATTAGATTTAAGGTTGTTGTTGTTGTTGGTTTCTCATCATAAACTAACATCAGCTAAAATATCAAAAACAAATTTCACATTGAAATCCAAAATCTATTATCATAAATCATCTGATGGGTTTATCTATAAATTATAGTCTCACTTAAAACAGCTAAACTCCGCCTGGAGGAGGAAGAAATCAGGAAGAAGTGCTGGAAGTGGATAGGACAAACATTGAGGAAAGCACCAAACTACGTCACAAGACAAGCCCTCACATGGAATCCTCAAGGCCAAAGGAGAAGAGGAAGACCAAAGAACACATTACGCCGGGAAATGAAAATAGACATGAGAGAAATGAACAAGAATTGGATGGAACTAGAAAAGAAGGCCCAGGACAGAGTGGGTTAGAGAATGCTGGTCGGCGGCCTATGCTCCATTAGGAGTAACAGGCGAAACTAAGTAAGTAAGTAAGTTAAAACAGCTAACAAATATCATTGATATCATTGAATACTCGGATCTTTATGTTAATTATATACTTATTGTCTTATTCATTCATTTTCTTAGCTACTTATTATTATTATTTTAATTGAAAGTAATGATAACTTTGGTCAGAAAGGGTTGGAATGTATCATTGAGTCAGATAAGCAATCATAATAATAATAATAATAATCATAATAATGCTAAAAATAAAATCAATAATGTTATATAAAAGAATCAAACAGATCAAACAGATTGTTCCTATTATTGATAAATCAATATTTTATCATTGATATTAATGAAGTCCTAAAATATTATCAAGATCATCGAAATTCATTTTATGATCAAGCCAATGTTGTTGATGATGTGTTTGTTCTAATGAATTATTATGATGATGATTCATATTCTCTTGTTCTATATTATTCTGATCATTTATATGATTGAAAGGAATTAAATGATTATTATTATGTTTATTTATTGAAGTGTTTAATTGGAATTGATGAAAAAATGCATCATCTTCATTGAGAATACTATTAGTTTCATTAGTTTTAGAATAGTAATTTAATTTAGATATCATTGAAGATGTTGGTGGAATTGATGATGATGATGATGATGATGATGGTGAGGATGATGAAGATGATGATTCAATCATTTCTGTTTGATTCGTAATCGATAATAATCTTGGTGATAATATTGTTAAATCAGATGATGATAATAATGATAATGTTTGATTTAATGATAATTCATTTGTTAATAAATCCGATGATAAAGAATTTACATGTAATTTTACTTGATTTATATCATTTTGTTTATTATTTAATACAAGGTTTTCAATAATAGGATTAATAATATCACTAGTGAAGGTTCCATCAATTCTTTGATCAATTCCATTGTTTTCTCTTCTCATTAGTACTTCGTCGTCATCGTCGTCATCACCGCCGCCGCCACCGTCATCATCTTCATCATCATTGTCGTTGTTGTTTTCTTCTTCTTCTTTTTCTTTTTTTTCTTTATTTTCTAATTCATTTAATGTAGAATTAATAAAATTAGTCATTGATTCTGATAAACTATCATGATTCATATTATTTATTATATTTGAATGATTTGACCACCAATCATTAGTTAAACGTGAATGAACATTATGAATAGTTAAATCTAATGGATCTATTAATTCATCATTATCAAAATCATTTATTGGTGGAATTTCATTTAATCCACTAGCTTTTGATAATTCTTCTACAATTAATCCATTATTATGATTATTATGATTATCATTACTATTCTTATTATTATTATTACTATTATTATCAGTATTATTATTATCATCGTTCAAGTCAAAGGATGAAATAGATGAAGTCGATGTATAATAGAAATGATCATTTAATATAGAATGAGTTTCTTGATCATTAAATAATGCTTGTAGATCACATTGTTCTTGTTCAGTTAAATTTAATGGGGATGAATGAATAGAATGATGTAATATATTATTTCTTAATAAATTATTATTATTATTATTAATATTATCATTAAAACTAATTGAATTCAATGATGTATTCAAATAATATTCATTATCAATAAATAATGTTAAATCTGTTGTTGGTTCCGGTAATAATTCCGATGGTGATGATGTATAAAAATCAGATAATTCTGGTGATGAACTAGAATTGGATTGAGTTGTTTGATCAATATTAAGATATATATTTGATGATTTATTCAAATCTATTAAATGATTTTCTATTTGATTAATACATTTACGTTTTGATGAATTGATGAATTGATTATTATCATTGTCATTGATAATAAGATGATCATGATGATCTTTTCTTTGATAATTATTGATTTCTGATGATAATTTTGATATTGAATTATATGATTCAATAAAATCAATTAAATCAGGTAATTTAGGTAAAGTTTGATTTTGCCAAGCAATTAAAAATTTATTACTAATTTTATTATTGATTAATTGATTTTGTAATTCTGGATTAATACGCCATAAATCACTACGACCATCTAATTCTTCTTTACGTTTAGGGACACGTTGAAAACAACGACTACATGTAAGATGTTTACGAATAATATCCTGATCAGAATAAAATGCCAAAAATGAAATTGAAATAAATATAATTGTTTGTAAATAGGGACAGTAGGACTATGGTTAAATTCATTCAACTAGTTATAATTAATACAGATCCTGAATGATGTGTATTATTCCAAGTTAATATATCACATGACCACGACAAAATGAATTTGAAAAGATGAATAGCTGAGGAATCAACTGTAGTTACTTCTTTGAGGTGATGGTAGAAATTGGATATTATGACAATACAGTCAAGTTATGGTGACTAGAACGTTCGTTATTCTAGCTTCTACTATATCAAGCATTGGGGGGGGGTTAAAGGGTGTCCATGTCGTATTGCTGTCCAAACAGGGTGATAAGGGTAGTAAAGTATTCCCCTTGTGACAACTAGCGATTGCGTAGAAGAGGAAAAGTCTTACCTTACCGCACAGATTTTAGTTACTGGCTGTCAAGCCTTTAAAGTAAAGAGCTCACATATCAAAAATTAGTCGAGGAGTTCTAATTACTTGTCCCTCGAACCCAACGACCATGTTCCTATCACTCTAAGACCGGTATTAATCTAGTTCTCCCTCTTCGGGCACCTCAGTAAGAAGTTTATTTATACGATTTAGGCAACCGAAATGTGACAACTGCTCTCGAGCCTCTAGAAACACCGGAGATTATTTGGTTCACAATAAAACCCTATATTTGTTAACTAGTAAATAAATTCCCATAGACAGCTTAATTCCATAGCCATTAGGAAGAAATTAACGCATAACAATTGTATCATGAAGTTACTTGCCAGTTGTATCTGATAATTTACATCAAGAAGCATATATATATATATATATATATATATATATATATATATATATATATATATATATAAATCCACCTGTAGGGTCACTGCCGGTCCCAACCCCAGATAGAGGAAAAGGTAAGGGGATGGGGTCGGCAACCCCATCCCGTAGAAAACAACCTTGCTAAAAAAATCTAACCGTTATAAACAATTTAAACCGTTTAAACTGCCCTGGGAGTTGAATGATCTTCATTCAGAAGAATTATACGGCTTCATAGTGGAAGCCAATATTCTTCAGAAGTCATGAGACCTATTACCCTCCTGATAACCAGAGAAACAATTTTTATAGGTGCAGGGAATGTTCACACAATATAGGAGACCGGGAGGACTAATAAAATAGCAAGGGAAATGAGGAGATACGACTTGTTGGTGCTCGGAGTAAGTGAAATCCATTAAACCCAAGCTGTACAGCAGAGGTTATGTACTGTAGAGATGCTGTTGTACTCTGATCTCGAAGGGGAAAATGCTCCACACACTCAGGGAGTTGCTCTGATCCTTTCCGAAGAAGCACGAAAAGCACTTATAAGATGGGAATCTCATGGATCCAGGATCATCAAAGCATCAATCAAAACAAGGAAGGAGTGAATTATGATGAATGTTATCCAATGTTATGAACCCACTAATAATAGCAATGACGACGATAAAGATCAGTTTTACGGGAGGCTGCAAACGATCATAACGAAGTACCCGAGAAGCAACTCAACCATCCTGATGGGATATGTAAACTCCAAAGTCAGAATGGATAACAACGGTTATGAAGATATTATGAGACGACATGAACTGGCTGGGAGAAAAGAATGAGAATGGTGACAGATTTGAAAATTTATGTTCATTCATCAAAATGGTTGCAGATGCCACAACATTACCCCAGAAACACACACAAAGCTCCATGGGTATCACTGGATCACACTGCAGAGAACCAAATCGACCATATTCGCATCACTAAAAGATTCAGAAGGTCAATGGAAGATATGTGAATCAGGAGAGGAGCTAACATAGCTTCAAATCGCCACCTGGTTGTGGCCAAGATGAGACTGAAGCTAAAGAAGGGCTGGGCAACTAGGAAAATAGCAATACAAAGGTTTAATACAGCTTTCCTTAGAGACACTGACAAACTTGATGAGTTCAAGATAGCTCCCAACATTACAGGATCAGCACGAAGAAGAAGAAACAACCATGAAGAACAGCTGGACAGGGGTCAAAGAAGCACTAGCTTAAACGTGCTATGAGGTTTGGGGCTACTAGAAGCATGATCATAAGGAATGGATATCTATCGAAAACCTGGATAGGATTCAAGAAAGGAAGAACAAGAAGGCAGGGATCAAAAATGGCCTAACAAGAACAGAGAAAGCCAAGGCACAAGATGAATATACAGAAGTAAAAAAGAGAGTGGGGACCTGAAGCAGACAAGGCTGATTACTCTCTCTCTCTTTCTCTCTCTTTATCCATCTCTTCTGGTGGTTCACTGGATTATGAAGACCTCCACATCTGAGGGGAAGCACGAAATACAATAGATAGCTTAGATACAGCTGGACAATAACGACTTTGCAGATGACCTAACTCTTCTATCCCATACACACCAACAAATGCAGGTCAAGACAATCGGTGTAGCAGCAGTCTCTGCATCAGTAAGTCTTAACATACCCAAGGAAAAAAACAACATCCTCAAATACAACACAGAGAACATCAACCTAATCACAGTTGGTGGAGAAACTCTGAAATATGTAGAATCTTTCACGTACGTGGTCAGCACAGTTGACGAACGAGTAGAGTCTAATGCAAATATGAAGGCACGGATTGCCAAAGCAAGAGTTGCACTTCTACAATTGAAGAATATATGGAGCTCAAAATAACTGTCAACCAATATCAGAGTCACAATCTCCAATACAATTTACAAGACAGTTCTACTATATGGGGGTGAAACTTGGAGAAATACCACAACCATTATCAAAAAGGTACAGGTATTTTAAAAAAATTTCTATGCAGGATACTGAATGTCCGTTGGTCGGATACCATCAGCAGCAGCCTGAGGTGGGAGGGAACAAACTAACTTATAGTTGAAGAGAAAATTAGGGAAAGACGTTGCAGGTGGATAAGACATACACTGCGGAAATCAACAAACCGAAGGGAAAAAGAAAAGAGGAACACCAAAGTACATATTACATAGGGAATTAGAAGCAAATATCAAAAGAATGAATAGCGATTGGAAACAACTAGAAAGGATTGTTCCGGACAGAGTTGGTTAAAGAATCCTGATCAGAAGTCTTTTGCTACGCGAGCGATAACCTGTGTAAATAAGAAAGTAGTATACATGTACATGCAGCTGAGTAAGTTTTAAACTTAACCGCTATATTTCAATAATATATGACTGAATGATCATTAAGTGATGATCAGTGTTGTTTTTTTCTGATCTTTTAAGTGCTGACTGAATTCTTTCCATCAAATTAAAATGTAATCACTAGTTTAAGTTTGTTAAGATCTTGTTCACTATTCTAAGATGTTAGTTAGATAATCACAGTCGGCAGAAAACTTTGAACCTAGGGTTCACGGTAGCTGACACTTCAGGAAGACGTATCTATAATCTTTGGGAAACTGGTGTTATCCATTCGGTCCTAACACGCATCACTTAAGTCTATGGTTTTCTTCCGAATATTTTCAACTAACTAATAGGTCAAAATAGTTCATTTGATTTCTATCCACTTAGGTAAATGGCCACAATATAACTTGATCGATAGAATTCGACCAACACTAGAAGACTAGATAAGGATAAAAATGGTCTCTACTACACAGTGGCTAATGACTTTTAAATATCTACATTCTAAAAGAGTTTAATCGAGAATCGAGCAATCCAGTGGTAACATCTGGCACTGGTAAAGTTCAATTTTAGGTTTTCCAACTCTCCTTCATGGATCCTCCATATCCGCCAACCCGGTTAAAGCACCGGACTTTCACTTTTTTCCTCTCAATTTCGTAAACAACAGTAATGTCGTGAGAAGGTAGTGAGTAGGACTTCCTTTGCAGTGGTTGCATGCACGTGGCCATATGAGAGCATTTCGAGATGGAGAGTTGACTCTTCCCACTCTCGGCCATACCAGGGCATTTGGGGTATCATTATACCATCATTATACTAATACATATTGTTATGTACAATCTTCAGATGTTAACCAATTGAAAGTGTAACAACAAATCGATCTTTAAACGAAATAGATTTGTAAATATTAGATAATATTTTTGAATATTGTGGTTTTAATAGACATTACTCGTTGAAGACTCTTGGTCCATCATCGATTTCAGATCATGTCTCTTTCAGAAAAATGTGAAAAACTTTTATGCTACGTAACGAGTTTAAAGGTTTTATGTTATTCTACCTGTGCACATAATTTTAGTTACCATCACCTTGTTATTCGTGTTTGTCTTTGAGTGATTTCGTTAGAAGATAATTGGCTAAAAGTACCAATATATTCTGTCACATCCAGTACATGTCCAGAAGCTGTCAGTAGCAAGCCTTGAAACTGTAGGTTTCGATCAATCTTTGTTGGCATATATGTGTCTTATGAAGATTGTCTCAACAGCCGAGTAATACTAACCTTTCTTAGTGGTGATATTAGTATAATACGCGTTAAACAAGTCAGTAGCTAATTGAACTCAATATCCCAGTGAATAATGTGTTACATTTCTGAAATTAAAGGTACTTTGCCGAAACCACATTGTGAACATCATTACAGGTGGTAATATATAAAAGAAAGATCGCAATAAGGAGATAGTACAGGAAGAAAGAATTAGTTCGTAGAAAGAAAGATATGAAGCGATTTTAATCTCATAATTTGAGGAAAGATAGAGAGTGTATACACCGACGCCACTGTGATCGATTCTGAGCCATGTCACCCACAATCTCCAACCACTGATTACGATAGTCGCGCGGACCCCAACCAGATAGTCTGCATCTACCGACATGGCTAAGACTAGAAGTTAGTGACTTCAAGCACTGATGCCACGAAAAGCATTATAAGCAAAAATGGATACTTAGAATGCTTGCGAATTAGGGCAATATCGAGGCAATATGCATAGTATTAACACATGTCAATAAGAGACTGATCAATGGCATTCCTAAACATCAATGGGAAGATTCAAGTAAAATAATACCAAGTGAATTAAACTTCACTGCACTGCACAAGCAGGTGACTATCAGGATCCAGTAGCTAGATGGATAATGTGATGGCTTTGGAAGTGAGTGGTACTGAGTTCGAGTCCCAGGGTGAACATCATCCCTAAGATGCAAGTAGATTCAGATGACGAGTCCCAAATAGGACGAAGTGGCTCACGTTCTACATTCCACTATCCATCTTTGCTTAGAATACTGTGTAGGATCATTGATAAATAATATTAAAAAAGTTACGAAAAACTCCAAACAAATTATTAATCCCTCTTAATCATACTTTCTTGTGAAACAGTACTCTTTATCCAGTCACAGCTAGGCAACAACAAAGTGATATGATAAAACGAAGTCAAAATTCGATTGGTTTACTCATTATGAGTTTTGTCCAAAATTACATCCGTTTTGATTCAATACGATGAGTACTCAATGTAGTATTTGTTACTGTTATCTCATATAATATTTCATTCTGTATGATATACGATATTCTTGTATTCAGTTGACATGATTTGTTATAATTGAGTATTTTTCATATATGTGATTTCATCTTAATTATTAATCAAAGTGTGTGTAAAATCATTATATAAATGAATGTATTTTCGACTAGGGTTGTCGTCGTCGTGGTGGTGGTCGTGTTTTAGAGGTTAATTTCTCTTCACCTATACCAGTCTTTGTGTACTTACTTTCTCGTCGTGGGAATTTCAAAAGTCCCTTATTTCTGTTATAAACGATAACCATTTCCGACAAAACAATCAGCGACAACCAGATATGAAAAAAGTAGCATTAAAATAGCCAAAACAATCAGCATTCAGTTCACAAGTTATAACACAAAGATAACTTAATAACAATCTTATTAACTATTATGTGCCGATAAGCATAATGCATGGTAATTGTTGGGATTCAATTATGGACCAATGATATACGTATATTTCTATTGTATTATTGTTAAACAACTAAACTATACATATTGACGTCCCTCTTATTATGAGCTTTATTATGAGTTCTATTATTATACGATTTACCATTCTTGAGTTATACCCAGTCTAGCAATTACTATCTCCACACATTCACAGTCACTTTTTGGTTAAATCTTGTACAAATGTTGTTTCCTATTTTATGGTACACTGTGGTCTGTTTGGTTGGTATATAAACTCAGTATGTTTGAAACAAATGATTCATGTCTCAAAGGCTCGTATTAGTGTTCTGGACTTAACTGACTGAGCTAGGCGGAAAGCAGGACCATTGAGGAATCTAGACTGATCTTACATGTTTTATACATCATTGGTTCAATCGATAAAATTCACTACTTCTTAATTAGCGGTTACAAATTATAACATCAATCATTCAATGTTTATTTACCTGCCACCAATAATTATCATTTTGATAACGATAAAATGCAAAATGTAATTTAATCCAATCACATATATCATTGAATGTAATTTTATTCTTTTTTAATGACATCATTGCCATATAAATTAATGTATGTGAATTAAATAATGGTTTATCATTTGCATTATATTGATAAATCTCTTTCTCTTGTATAGATAATGTATCATATTTCATAAATAATTTATTATTCTCTGTTATATAATAATAATAACTTTCTATAGGAGTACTATGATTGATAGAATTAGTATAGTCAATAGTATTAGTATTACTATTATTATTAGTAGTAGTATTATTAATTTTTTTATAAATCACTTGACTACTATTATGATTGAATATATCAGTAGTTGATGAACTTATAATGAAATTTATATCTGTTAAATTCATCGATTGTTGTTGTGGATGATGATGATGATCATTTTTACGTAATTTATGATGTTCAAATCTTGAAATATTACTATTACGTAATGAACAGATATATGAATTGGGATTATTCACATTATTATTATTATTATTATTATTATTATTATTAATATTATGTAGATCATATATAGAATTTGTAGAAAATGGATCATTATCATTAGGATTTACATTACCAGTATTAATATAGACAGTGTTTAATAATCGTTGACAATCTATACTATTATTATTACTATTATTATTACTTCGTAATGCATTCGTTGTTGTACTAATGGGAATATGATCCAATTGAATAGGATTATAATTTGAATAAAAATTTATTGTATTATTTAAACATTTTAAAGGTGAATCTTTATATTGTTTATTAGTTATAGCAATACTACTACTAATATAATTATTATGATTATTTATATCAGTAGTATGATCTATATTATTATGAATATTGTAAGTGAATCGATGTTTTGAATAATTATTTATATATGGAAAAGTATTATTTTCATTTCGATGTTGTAATCCATTAAATAATGTGAAATCATTTCGTTTATAATGATTTAAAGTTGAATTGAAATGAGAAAATTTTTGTGATGATGAATTCCATGTTGTCATTGGTGTTGTTATTGTTGTTGTTGTTGTCGTCGTTGTCGTCGTTGTTGAGGTATATACACTGTTAGTTGAATTGATTAAATGTAATGGAGGTGTAAGAGGTGGAGAAATCGGTGAACTTCTAGATGTGAACTCATGAATATTTAAAGTCTAATTGAAAAAAAGTTTTTATAAAATGGAAAAGGGGAATTTATATTTCATTTGTATATATTTAAATTAATAAGAGAATATAAATAATCAAGATGAATATCGTTAAAGTATACATCATATTTCATAGACATCAGATAGTCATTTGCAAATAACTTAAGACAATGGTACAAAAATGAATCAGTTAAATTTGTTACACTACATAAAAAAGTGGGATAAAATCATGAGTATGGGATTGGGAAGATCATTAAGTTTTTGACTGAAATCATGAATTGATTGATATTAGACCACCAGTAAAAACCTGAAAGCACTGAATGGCCGCTACGTTCTATTTTGGGACTCCTCAGCAGTGCGCATTAACGATCCTGCTATCAGAATTCGAACCCAGAGCCCTCAATCTTCACACGAACGCTTAACCTCTAGACTACTGAGTCAGCTGGCATCCAACGGTGTTAATGTCTAACCTCAACCAATCCACGAAATTGCGCGACCAACTTCCATTGTACTGTGGTAGATACCTATCTATACCCGACACGGATTAGCTCCACTGGTCACGGTTTCTTACTAGAACTCCGAGAGTTCTCGCACGTGAGGCCGAAGGCCCTGGGTTCAAATCTCGCGGATGGAATCGGGGATGTGCACTGCTGAGGAGTCCCACAATGGGACGAAACGGCTGTTCAGTGCCTCCAGATAAAGTTACTAATTAAGTAGGCTACACCCACTTACACGACTTAGTGTAATGATGAATAGGTTCATGGATTTAGGTGTTTTTAGTATTGTCCAATTTTGGTTCTACTTTAAATAATACTGAATATTAAGGTGGACAACAGTTGATAACACTTAATACACGTTTCAAACACTTTGGTCTATGAAAACGTCCAATCCAGTTAGTCAGTATTCTATGTTTGATAATTATCCTGTGACTGAATGTAACTTTATTCACTCGAACAATTCTTATCATATATCTATAGCAATATTCTTCTAATTTTTGAATTTGTTCTACCTCCATAAGTCATGTTTCATGTATATTGGGGTAAAGTATTGCTTACTATAATCACTTTGTAGCAGGCATATGAATATCTTGTCAGTAGAACATGTAACATAAGTAGGCAAAAGATTTTTTCTTAACTTTTCAGAACTTTCCTTCATAATTAATGTTTTAGGAATAATCAAATAGTTTTAATTAGTATAATCTTTCTATTAAAGAATAACATCTCTGTATGGATTCCAATCACGAAGTTTAAATCGTTGTACACATTTCCATTTCAGTAGTTGAGATCATGAGTCATTTGAAGCTAAGCCACCATGGAAAACCTGGAAGCATTGGATGGCCGTTTCGTCCTACTGTGGGACTCCTCAGCAGTGCACATTCACGACCCTAACTCACGAGATTCGAGCCCGGGACTTTCCAGTTTCGCGCGCGAGTGTTTAACCACTAGACCACTGAGCTGTCATCCAACGGTGTTAATTAGGAATTATCAAATAGTTTTAACTAGTATAGTCTTTCCATTAAAGAATAAAATCTCTGTATGGATCCCAATCAAGAAGTTTAAATCGTTGTACACATTTCCATTTAACAGTGAAATTATTTCCAAATAATCATTCATTTACTTTAATAATTAATTAATTATATAAAAAAATATTTAACTGAACATAAAATGATTTGAATCCAATCCCTGATGATATGGTCATAAATATACAATCGATAATTTCATGCAATTAATTAGCCCCTCCGGGGCTAATAGCGGTCCCGAGTCTGGATAAAGGAGGAGAGTTGGACATGAGGTTAGCGACCACATCCCATAGAAAACTAATTCGTTAAAAAACGCTAAAGACGCATGCATTTAAATTAATCCAGAACAAATATAGATGCAGAATAATATGAATTCACTATATTTCATAGTTTCTCATCAACTGCTTACAATGAAATTTGTATTAGAATTTGACATTGAGATAAGAAATAATATGAAACAAATGAATGTAAAGAATTGGAATGACAAGGTCAGAGGTTATTTGGTGTCAGAACCAAGGAAATATTAAGGCTAGGTGATGTAATAGTTTACTGGGTGGTGGAGAAGATTTGTAGTTCAAGTGGATGATTTTGATGGAATATTGTTCTCTGAACTGGATGGTTTAGTCGCGGAGCTTTCATCATTCTTCTAGACGACATCATTAGCACAAACTTAAGGTAGAAGTGAAGTGTTCGAGTTACTCCATATGTGGTTCGCAGCTTGTCGTGTACACCTCGATTTTCCTGATTGGAAAATTGTACACAAACATAGGAACGAAAATCAAACCAATGGGAGATAAAACCAAAACAAAGAAGTAAACAATGACAGGTTTAAGGTCAACAGAAACCAATCAATATCGAGGTGTACAGGACAAGCTGTGAACTACATGTGGGGTAATTCAAACACTTCACTTCTATTTTAAGTTTGTGCTAATGATGTCGTTCATAAGAACGATGAAAGCACCGCGACCAAACCATTCAGTTGAGTGGAGTTCAGAGACAGATAAGATAAATTGTGTGATAATTTTAAAGATAATGAAAGGTTTACATAGAATTCATAGGATTGAAAACTGATAAGATGGGTTACGTAATAATTTAAGGGAATCAAGTAAGTGGAAATATATGAGTGAAGGGTTGGTTTAAAAATTAGGTACCGGAAGAGAAATATAACACAAAGTAAACATTAACAAGAAAAAAATAACTTATCCTATACTGGAATAAATACAACTATCTACTACTTCCTACTTTTCAATAACTATTTAAATAAGATCAATTTATGGTGTTAACTGTTGTAACCTGTGGGTTTGGGCCCCTATTAGTATATAACGTAATGATATCGCCAATTAGAGAACAGTGATTTATCGACTGGGTCAATGACACATAAAACCTGTACGAGTAGTCTAGCGTCCTTATCGGTCTTTCTTCCTGCCTGTTAGAGTCCAGAACACCAATCTCAGCCTCTGCAACATGAATCATACATTTCAAACATACTGGGTTTATATACAAGCCAAACAGACCATATCGTGCCATAAAATGTGAAACAACATTTATACAAGATCTAGCCAAAAGTGGCTGTGAATGTGTGGAGATAGTAATTGCTAGACTGGGTATAACTCAAGAATGGTAAGTCGTGTAATAACAATTCATAGATCAAAATAGAGCTTATGATAAGAGGAACATGAATATGAATAGTTTAGTCATTTAACAATTATACAATAAAAATATATGTATAGTAATAATCCAGAAATAGATTGCAACAGTTACCATTCATTAACTTTGAAAAAAAAAGTAGAAGACAAAACTATAAACTTTGTATTATTTTTTTATTGAAAGTGTTCAGTCAATTACTTTATTGTTTGTTTGTTTGTTTGTTTACTTATTTATTTATTTATTTGTTGTTGTTGTTGCTGTTGATGTTGATGTTGCTGCTTCTGCAATATTATTGACAACAAAATGTTGACCTGAAATATATATAACTCCTATTTTTTCTTTCTTTTAAAATAACAATAATAATAATAATAATAATAATTATTATTATTATTATTTTATTGTTTCTAATATTGAATTTTCTCTTTTTTTGTTTTCTTTTTTTTTTCTTTTAAATTTACAAGATGATGTATCTTTTTTTCCCGCATTTTTTCTTTCTTTCTGTATAAATGAGTTATTTCTTATATTATAGTGAATATTGAATTAAAGTTATATTTATTTAAATGATTGTTGAACGATGTCAAAATAACTTTACAAAGTGTTCATCTAATAACTAGGACTAAATATTAGGTTATAAACCAGTGTAAGGAATTAGTATTAGAATTTACAGTTGATGGTTAGGGTTTTCATTATGAACTAACATTAGCTATAATGCCAAAATTCTATTTAGTGAAATGGATCAGTGAATTTCACTCCAAAATCCGAGACCTGTTATCTTATACCTAATCCATATCGGATAGAAACAGGTATCTACCTCAGTACAATTGAATATGGTCGCGCAACTTCGTGGAGTGGTTGAGGTTAGACATTGATACCATTGGGTGCCGGCTCAGTGGTTCAGTAGGTTAAGCGTCCGCGCGCGAGACTGAAGGCCCTGAATTCGAATCCCGCGAGAGGGATCGTGGATGCGCACTGCTGAGGAGTCCCACAGTAGGACGGAACGGCCGTCCAGTGCTTCCAGGTTTTCAACGGTGGTCTAACATCAATCGATTCATAATCTCGATCAAAAACTTAACAATCTCCAAAACCTCTAAACTGATAATTACCATGTGCTCACTAGTGACTAGCTTCGTGAAAAAATTCTCGGAATTCTGGTGAGAAGCCGTGACCAGTGGGGCTAATCCTTGTCAGGTAGAAACAGGTGTCTACCTCAGTACAATTGAAGGTGGTCGCGCAACTTCGTGGATTGGTTGAGGTTAGATATTAACACCATTGGATGCCGGTTCAGTGGTTCAGTGGGTTAAGCGTCCGCGCGCGAGACTAGAAGCCCTGGGTCTGAATCCCGCGAGCGGGATCGTGGATATTTATATTGATAGAATACTGTATAATTATGAATGTCTTGTTTGTTAGTGTTAATTTAAGTGACTCAACATTTCATACACTGTGTTTAATTTTGGATTGATTATTATTAAGTCATCAGTTAATGTAGATGCAGGAGGTCATAAATTGCTTAATTAACTCAATGATAACAAAAGTAAACACAATACGGTTTCCAATGCTACAGTGAGCAATCGATACATCTGGATTGTTGATGTATGTCAGCTAGTATGAAGTATATATCAAGCAGGTCACTCTGCTAATACTAAGTTACTTATGTTAGTAATCATACTGTAACCTGATGAGTAGAACTCGATTATCAAAAAGAACTAGATAAACATCAAACAGCTCATTAATAAATGATGGATAGTGGCTAGCAGTGGAATCCAGGACGCCATTTGGGACTCTTCAGCTGGATGTACCTGCATCTCAGGGTTAATAAATATTTAGTCAGTAAAATCAACTGATGAACTTAGAACAATATGGCAAAAAGAATTACTTCCACGAGTGTTTTACATTTCGTGTTATCTTTTTTGTTAACAGTATTAAGAAGAAAACTTAACTGCTTATTAGATATAACAGGATGCATGAAGTTGTAGGTTGACTCAATTTAAACCATTAACTGTTCTCGATATAAATGATATGTCAACAATTTACAAACAGTCAAATTGTCTATGCTTTTTACCTTATTACTTTAGTCAAGATCATATAGCAGGGAATAGACTATAATCAAGCTAAGCTAACATTTATTTTTCACTTTATAACCTAATCAGCTTTAGGTTTAACATTTTAAATGAAAACGATTTGATTAGTTATTTAACAACATAGCAGAGATGGATGGTGGGTAGTAGTGAAATCCAGGACGTGTGTTTTATCTTATTCTGGGCTCGTCAGCTGAATTTACTTGCATCCAAGAAGAGTTGTTCACTTTGGGAATCCACATAACCAATATTTATTAACAGTTCATTAGTTTAATTCAAATATTAGATACTTAGTGAAAAAACAAAATAAATTAGTTTATGTAATTTAATGGTTGGGAGTAGTCAACAGGATGTTCTGAATCTAGATTTCAATCTGTTTTGCACTCGTCAACAAAAGGTACCTGTAATCTTGAGGGTACTGACGGATTTAATCACGCGTCACACTGCTTCACAGTCACAGACGTTACCACTGTGCTATTCTGTTAGTCGCATCCAACCAACGTGTCATCCCAACACAGTGAACACGTTGTCGAGTCACTTAGACTAATAGTCACGTTGAAACTTGATCGACAGAATTCGAACTGCAATAAAAACGACCTGAAATACATAACACTAGTCGCTATCCAGTGATGAACCAATTGTAATTTAATTTATGATTTTAAGAACTATAATCAACTTAATTATTACGAAAATACAGATAAACAAGTCAAAATTAAGCATAGAAGTGTATCCATCCAAGTTACTACAGTGAATTGAAATTGGAAAGATGAAAATCGAATGTTCTGAAACAATCATACTTTTACTATTGAAAAATCAAATACTATAAAGCAGTTCACAATGAAAGAATGTACTGAAAAGTATAACTATACAGTAACCAGATTATACATATCTATATTCTTCTTATAATAAGCTTCATTTTGACCTAGAGATTATTATTATACGATTAAATGCTCTTATGTTCAGTCTATTGACTACAGTCTCCCATGTTCACAGCCATTTTTTGTCTTGAACTTGTATAAATGTTATTTCCTATTTTATGGTGTGATGCGGTCTATTTATCTGGTATATAAACTCAGTATGTTTGAAATACATAACTCGTATAATGGAAGCTGTTATTGGCGTTCTGGACTCAAGTGGACAAGCTTAGCGAACAAAGGACCAATAAGGACTCTAGGCTGCACATACCAGTCGAATGTCATTAGTTTAGCAGTGTTTAGACTGTATAAACCGTATTTCGACTGGCGAACAAATCACGTGATAACTAGCCGGGCTTAAAGTCACAACTATTCTAGTTTTATGACCTTATATCCAGACAGTGTTAAGACAATGAGAGTGACATGAAAATGAGGAAAATATTAAAGGGCTTCAAAATAATTTAAACATAGTACCCAACTAGTCTGACACTTAACAAAAGTTAATCAATGATACTAAATATATTGTGATTATGAAGAATTGAATGAATACATTTGTGATAACGTTATATTTTCTACTTTACTAACTCACAGAGATCCAAAGCTTATTATTATTACTATCATGAAATAGATAAGTACTAAACACTGTCCCACAGTTACTTCAACAATATTTGGGAACAATCCTGGGCAATATATATAGAGCGTTCGACTATAATAGAGTATTACTAAGGTAAAAGATACAACACACCATGCACCAGTCGAATCCCATTTGATGGAGAAGATTTGGAAGATGAAAAAACCCTCACATATCTTGGTAGCATCATTGATGAACACGGTGGATCTGGTGCAAACGTGAAGGTGCAAGTCGGTAAAGCAAGAGCAGTATATCTACAACTGAAGAACATCTGGAACTCAAAACAACTAACAACCAACACCAAATTCACAATTTTCAATACAAATGTCAAGACAGTTCTACTGTTTGGGGTGGAAACCTGGAGAACCACGAAAGCCATCAACCAGAAGATACAAATGTTTGGTAACAGTTGTCCACGCAAAATACTTCGGATCCGTTGACCGGACACCATTAGCAACAACCAACTATGGGAGAGAACAAACCAGATCTCAGCGGAGGACGAAATTAGGAAGAAGCGCTGGAAGTGGATAGGACATACATTGAGGAAAGCACCCAACTGTGTCAAAATACAAGCCCTCACATGGAATCCTCAAGACCAAAGGAAGGGAGGAAGACCAAAGAACACATTACGTCGGGAAATGGAGACAGACATTAGAAAAATGAACAAAAATTGGATAGAACTGGAATCGAAGGCCCAGTAGAGAGTGAGTTGGAGAATGCCGGTCGGCGGCCTATGCTCCATTGGAGGTTAGAGGCTTAAGTAAGTAAATAAGTAACTAAGGTATTTAAATGTTTACTAAATAGTAACTATGCATATTACATAGTAATACTCAATTATGAATAATAATAATAATAAACTAACTTGTAACCAATTTAAATTTGTTAATGAATCATCTTGTTCTTGTAGATCCAATATGAATTGATTAGAACCATTACGTGTTAACCAATTTTCACGTAATTTTTCAGCTAAATAATCACTTGTATATTCGAACATCATTTTTTCTTGTTGTTGTTGTTGTTGTTGTTATTGTTTATTTTTTAATTATAAAATGCTGAATAAATAAGAAAAACAAACCGAAACCGCATCATAGATTGATTTGTTTACTTATTTTTCTTTATATAAGTAGTTTTATTGTTTTTATTATAAATAATAATAATGATAATGATAATATTAATAATAATAGTGGTAGACTATTTCATTACACAATAAATAAATAAAGATAATTGAATTGAATCAATTATTGATTTTCCTCATTATTATTTTAAAGATTAAATCGATTTTCAATTAAATGAGAAGATTTATAGACTTAAAGATGATCTTTACTTTTTACTTAAAATAATTTAATAATTTAGGGTTAATTACTTGAATATATAAAAGAGAATATTGATACATAGGAGCAACGAATATATATGTGTTACACATATTGTTTGATTTATGTGTAGGCTATGATGCTACCTGAGTGTCTAGATTGAAACAGTGAGTTTTCTTAGGGGAACACGTTCGGAGCCTTCGACCTAGAGGTCTAATCCACAAGGCAATGGAGCTACGTTAGGAGATGCAGTATAATTTTTAATAGTTAAGATCATGAGTTCATTGAAGCTAAACCATCATAGAAAACCAGGCTGGCTTATTGGTCTGGAGGTTAAGCGCTCGCGCACGAGACTGATATGTTCTGGATTCGAATCTTTCTAGTGGCGGGATCGTGGATGCACTCTGTTGAGGAGTCTCATACTACGACGAAACGACTGTTCATTACTTCCAGATTATTTAATAGTTCAAAATTAATAGAATGAAATATCTTGTTTACTGTTTTTCTTCTTTTTAATAATCAATTTGATAATAGAATTCATTTATGTGAACAATAGCATTTAATTAATAACTAATAAAATATATACATTGCGTAACTCAATGACATCCCGTTATATATTTCTCTAGTGAAACAAAATATAACTTTTTAAGCAAAGCTAACAATTTTCTATAATAAAACAAGTCGATGAGTCTATCATTTATGGACAACTTTTGAGCGACGCTAAAGTGACCTTGAGAGTGTCCACGTAATAACCTGCACCAAATGAGTGTTATAAACTCGTATAAATGATTAGACTTATGATTTACAGTTGATGATTAGGGTTATGAAATAGATTTAAGGTTTTCATCATGAACTAATATCAGCGAACATGGCAAAACACTCTTTAACCAAATAAGAATGAATGAATTTCGCGCCAAAATTTAAAACCCTATTCTCTTAAAATCTGATTGGTTCATCTCGTCAAGATATTTAATACTCAGATACAATAAATATTTTGTTCTTTTAATTTAAAAGGATAATGATGATAATCATTAAATGATTCAATAATAAGAAAGAATATAAGATGATAATGTATTATAACTATAAGTGAATAGAATCATAAACTGTTTCATGAATATTTAGTTCAATATACTACTCATGAACTTTAATATTTAACATTCAAAAATGTTATTGAACTAAAATAGTCAATGGTACTATTAATAAGAATCAAAAACATCACATTACTGGTTATAGTGACTGAAGTGGCGAGACTATAATTTATAGACGAACCAATCACGTATAAGATAACAGGTACCAGATTTTGGCGCGAAATTCATTCATCCATTTGGATAAATGAGTTTTGACATTTTAGCTGATGTTAGTTCATGATGAAAACCCTAAATCTAATTTCTAACCATAATCATCAACTTTAAATCATAATTTTAATTTCTCACACAGGTATATAACCCTTATTTCGTCCTGTTTATTAAGTGGACACTCTCAAGGTCAGTCTGGCGTCGCTCAAAGGTCGTCCATGAATTATAGTCTCACCAGTTTTTCTATTCCATGAAATTGTCATCAGTTGTATTAGTAATTTTTTTTTGAAATTTTTACATCTTTTCACACAACTTTTTTTTATTAACCCTCACAGTACTTTACCATGGTAACATGAGACATTCACAATAGAAATAGATTTATATACTTGATTTTAACCTATAGTTTAAATGTGATATTATGAAAATCCATTTTTGACATAGAAACTGGTGATTGAAAATCAACTGTTTTAACTACTAAACTACTACTTCAAACTAAAGGAACTGATAAGATGCTCCATTTTCATATTATGCTTCGCATAAATGATTACCATTAAATACAGATATGATTATATAACAGTTCTTTAGGTATCGTGGTTACTACAATACCATTTAATTACATTGACATGTGATATTCATTCTTCGGTGGCCTAATTAGATCGTCTGCTGATTGTTAATGAAATATACATCCTAGCTAACCTCGTGTATTTTTATTGACTTGAATCGCGCTCATGGATAACGGAATTAAATAAGTTAAATACGAGAATAAAGTTTGAATACGTGTTTCATGCAATTATTGATTTGAACAGACAATCAGGAAAACCAAACTAGGAAGGGAGAGCTAAGCGGATCGGAGAAGGCAAATGAGTCAACTCAATTTAAAAAATCGTAAATCGATATTTATAGTTACAGACACATAATGGGTAGGATAAGTAATTAGCACGCATACGATCATATAAAATACAGTCAGGATTAATAAGCGAATAATTGACAGGGTAAAAATGTGGCTTGAGAAGAATGAATAGATTGATCTCTCCAGAGGCTAGAATAAACTGTGTGAGCTTGACATAGTATCAACCCCTACGATTCAATGTTCCACTAAGTTCAACTCATCATTAATTGAGAAATTCTGAAAGCGTTTTAAATTAGAAGTGAACTTCAATAAATGTACTTTTCATAGTCAAAACAGTGTCCAGACAACACCGCATAATAATAATCTACAAATTACATAATTTTATGAAGATAACGAAGTGTTTATCCAAAATTTTTCGAAGATTGTATGGTGACTGATTGAGATTAACTGGATTTTCATTGAAATTTAAGAACCACTGGATGATGATGATGATTTTATAGCTGTTATCACTCTCAAATGACAATACCTTCAATATTGAATAATAGTTATGTGTTTACTAGTGACTTACCTTGAAAATAGAAGTTGATATTCTAGTTAAAAGTTGAGTCTAATGGAGTTCACTTAAGTCAAAACTAACAATAAATATCACCAACAAAGATAAATATACTTTTGTTATATCCCAATAAGTAGAAAAATTATATTTCCGATGTTTCGTGACTTAATGTAAGTCACTTCTTCAGAGTAAATAAATAACCTACATCAAATTACTTGTTTGTAAATATTTAACTTCAGTTACTTGTTTACTCTGAAGAAGTGACTTACATTAAGTCACGAAACGCCACAAATATAATTTTTCTTCTCATTGGGATATAACCAAAATATATTTATCATTAACTCTCTACACAATGCTCAGTTTATTTGAAACTATCAAGTCCAACTTTGGTATTCATACCTATATTACAGATAATGGCTATGTTATGTTATAAACTCACTTTGAGTTTAACATTTGATCTGTTAGAATTTAACTCAGTGAATAAGTAATGTTATAATTATCTCCACAGTGTAAAATCCAATGAAAAATTATGTGTCTACACCCCAACGAGAAGTTCTAAACAAAGACTTATTCAAAACTGTTGCTTATCATTTTTTGTCTCTCTTGATTTTCAACAAATCTTCAGATGATACTATTCTATAGTCAAAAAGACCTTCAATTTGAATTTATCTCTACGATTCTTTGAATGTAATTTATTGAATATTTTAAATTTATTTATCTCTTCGTCTATTTATCTATCAATCAGTGTATTCATTTATATTGTAGTGTCAGTTACTATGCTAAACCTGTCTTCTGGACAGGCCAATCTATTCATTCTTCTTGAGAGACGTTTTGACCTTGTTAATTATTCACTTACTAACCCTGACTATTTTTATATGAGCGTATATGTATTTACACTTATTATCCTATTCATCACATGTCTGTAATTTATTTTTATCTGGCTATAAATATTGATTAATGCTTGATTAAATGGAGTTGGCTCACATGCCTTCTCCGTTAAGCGTCATTCCTCTTCACTTCGTCCCTCTGATTGCTTGTCCAGATCAATGAGTGTACAAATTAGATGTATTCAAAACTTCATTCTCGTACTTAACTTATTTGATTCCATTATTCACTAACGTGAGTTAAGTCAAGAATTTTAAGTGAGGATTGATGATATTCAAATTTCAATAGCAATCAAAAACCATCAAACTGGAGTCAGATATAAAGGCCACTAAAGTGATAATTTGTCCAATTTAACTAGAGTCAGATACCGGGCCATTAAAATATTTACAAACACATAATACACATTCATTATTGAGATTAGACATTAACACCATTGGATATCGGCTCAGTGGTCCAGTGGGTTAAGCGTTCGCGCGCAGGACTGAAGGCTTTGGATTCGAATCCTGCGAGCGGGGTTGTTGATGCGCAACACTGAGGAGCCCCACGATAAGACGAAACGGTCGTCCAGTGCTTCTAGGTTTTCAACGGTGGTCTAACATCAACCGGTTCATGATCTCAATTAAAATACAAAAGAAGTTAATCCTTGAAAATTATTATTTCAATTAAGTTCTCAACAGAATAATGAATTTTACTCTCTCTTTCTTCTTGTTATTGAATATCAGAAGTTGCTTTGTGGAGATTTTAGTAATTTCAATAGTTGAAATCATGAGTCAATTGAAGCTAGACCACCATAGAAAACCAGGAAGCACTGGACGGCCGTTTCGTCCTAGTACGGGACTCATCAGCAGTGCGCGTCCACAATCCCCCTAGTGGAGTTCAACCAAGTCTGTTGTGAGATATCAGCTCACTGAAGACAATGGTGGATGGTGGTGCAATTCCGTGGATTGGTTGAAGTTGGACATTAACACCGTTGGATACCGGCTGGCTCATTGGTCTAATGGTTAAGCGCTCGTGCGCAAGGCTGTTTGGTCCCGGGTTGGAATCTCGCGAGACGGGACGGGATCGTGGGCGAGCACTGCTGAGTAGTCCCATGCCAGGACGAAT